GTAAAATTTGCTCACACACTCCAAATATTGTCTGAAATACACATTTGTCACATATGTAAAAATGGTAATATTTTCTTGGCCCAAAGATAGAATTTGGGGCTCTAGTGTTTGAATTATTTTGGAAGTGCTATTATAGCCAATCACATTCACAGCTATTGGGAATAAAAATAAAATGAAATAAAGGTATATAGGCCTTTCCATTGGATTCCACACTCTAAAATCAGCCTACAAATATGAAGATAAATAGGGTTTATATATTTTAGTTGAATATTTATGTTATATCCATTTAAAAGTATATGTTCTTTGGGCTGTATTTTTTTTATTTTTTTATTTCAAAATATTTCAATAATTATATTGTTTAAAAAGCTTCAAAGTAAATAATAAAAATATAAGAGATAGAAAAAGGATAATAATAAAAAAAATTGATTGTTATGAAAGTGATATATATACTAGACAATATATGGACTATTGATTTTCTCCTTAACTACAGATCAACTATTCATAAAAAGTGATATTTAGTATATACTTACCACTCAAAAAAAAAAAAAAATCATAAATACATGAATAAAAGGAATCTGTATGTGGATGGAGTAATTTTTTTATAATAAAATTACTGATAATGTTAAAGTCGGGCAAAGAACATTGGAGGCCCATAACCCAGAGCCGAAGGAAAAGGAGCCCAAATGGGTAAGCCTATCCAATCAGTAAGAATCAGATGGGCCCAACATATAAAAAGTTAAAATTGATGAGAGGAAAAGGTACCAAGGACCTTGTCTACTCGAATTTGCCATGCCTTCTCAAACAATCAATCACATGATTGATTACATGGGATTGATTACTCATCTTTGGTCTCTAGCAATAGGCAAATACCATTCTCTAGTAGGATGCATACATTTCAAACCGATTTTTTAACCGTTGGATATGCATGTATGTGTATTTGTTGATCTAACGGCAAAAAAAAATTGTATAACTATGCACAAATTACCAGGTTTTTTATCGTTGGATATGTATGTATGTGTGTTTGTTAATCTAACGGCAAAAAACCCTATAACTGCACACAGATCACCAGGTTTTTACCGTTTTTAATGCCTGCTGGAAAAGTCGATGAGGTTCGACTCCACTCTAAAGGGTTTGGAACCCTTTTTTTTCCTTGTAAACAAAGTCTCACCAGTAGTCATTACAAGAACAAGACCCACCCTTAAAATGGTGAAAACGGGTCGCATCACGAACCACAAAGCGACGATTCTCCACAAATCTGCTGACCGATTTTATAAACACGTGACAGTTTTCACATATCCTCAGATTCTTAATAACGAGAATATCCTCCTCTTCCGAACACGAATTCAAGAGCGCGAATGCAACTGCCAATCTCTCGCTATGATGCATAGATTGATAATCCCTTTGGTTCTTTTCATCATCCTCTTTTGCATTCACTAAATCCTCCAACTCCCCTAACATTTTACAGATCTCTTTCGTTTGAGGGTGACTTTTATCCCCGGCCACAAACAGATGTATTCTACCTTTATGCTCGACATAGCTATAGCCGGGATCTTTTTTCAGTCCCCGTTCTCGCATCATCACCCGAACCCTCAGCACGCCTTCTTTATTACCCGTCTCGGTATAAATATTCGATAATAGAACATAATAACCTATATTCATGGGCTCAAGCTCAATCACTTTACCGAAAGCCAGCTCAGCCAAGCCCACATTTTTATGGATCTTGCAGGCACCCAATAAAGCTCCCCATATGGACCCATCGGGCTCCATCGGCATTGACATGATCGCGTTTTCAGCCTCGACTAACCGACCCGCCCGGCCCAAAAGGTCCACAACGCAAGAATAGTGTTCCGGGCCAGGGACCAGATTGTAAATTTTCTCCATCGAGTAAAAATAATCCAACCCTTTTTCCGTGAGCCCCGCATGGCTGCATGCGGTTAAAACACAAACGAATACAGCTTTATCTGGCCAGATGCTTGCCAATATCATACGATCAAAAAGCTCGACAGCGATAATTCCATGGCCGTGCATGCCATAGCCGCCTATGATAGCTGTCCAAGACACCAAATTTTTATCCGGGAGTGAATCGAAAATAGCTCTCGCCTTTCTCAAGTCACCACACCTAGCATACATGCTAATCAACGAATTATTCAAATACGGATTAAGCACAAACCCACGATTTATTATCATCTGTTCCACTTCGACACCGATTTTTCGTGCGCCGAGATTAGCGCAAGATGACAGGACGCCGACAAGTGTCACCTCGTCAGGGCACACACCAAACAATTTCATATTTTCGTACAAATCCAAAACCTCCTTACACAGCCCGTTTTGCGAGTACCCGGATATCATTGCATTCCAAGTGATCAAATTCTTCTCCGGCATCTCGTCGAACAACTTCCTCGCAAGTTCAGTACAACTCCCGCACCAAACGTACATCGATAAGAAGCAATTTACAACTGCCAAATCATTGATCAAACAGAGTTTCAAAGCCAAGCAATGAAGGGACATTCCCAGAGGCAGGTGCATTGGGTTACTGCACCCGGGCACCAATCCCAAAATAGTGACGGCGTTAAACGGCACGCGTTTAGACCTCATAAGGCCGAAAAAAAGCAGCCCGTCTGAGAATCTTGACACTCGGACAAAACCAGAAATCAAAGAGTTGTAGCAAACAGCAGTAGGGTCAGGAATTTCGTCGAACACTTTGAGGGCACTCTCGGGGGAGGAGAATTTGCAGTACATGGATATCAGAGCCGTCTGCACGAAGGGCTCCAGAAGGCAGCCGGACTTGATGACGTGGCAGTGGAGCTGAGCGCCGGTGAGAGGGAGATACAGAGCGGCTGAGGATTTGAGAGTGAAGGGGAAGGTGAAGGCGTTTGGGGCGACGCCCGAGCGCAGCATTTGGCGGTAGAGGGTCAGGGCGTGGCTGTATTGGCCGCTTTTGGAGAGGTCCCTCAGCTGCATATTCCATTTTCCGGCGGCGGCTATCGTGATGCACAGCGGCAAGCTCAGCCGACTCATGGATGATGGGACCCACCCAACATGGAGTACAGAGGTGTGGCTGTTTTCTTACTTGAAAAATTCAGTTTCATTTTGCTGGCTTGAGCGAACATGTCTTAGGCTCGGCTTAAAAAAAGTTCAAGAACTTTGGAGTCGATCACGATTGGTTCGAATTTCATTCGATTCGAAATTGCAACGAAAAAGTATCTAACGAGGGAGTATTCATGTTTCATGTAATTTTAAGCATGTTCAATTGGAATTTCGTTCGAGTTGGGTTCGAAACTACAATGAAAAGGGTATTTATGTAATTTTAAGCATGTTCGATTCTTATTTCGCTCGAGTTCGAATCGAAATTATAATGAAAAAAGTATCTGTAATCTTTAGAAGTTCAGTCAAATTAGGAGTCGAAAGGAAAATATTGAGGGTATTTATGTAATTTTAAGTATGTTCAAACTGAGTTGTCGCACATTGAAGCTAACGGACTACAAATTGGTATGAGTTCGAATCTCTCAAAATCGTACAAAGGGCTAATAAGCTATGTAATTTGGTGTATTTATGTAATTTTAAGTATATTTAAACTTTTTCCCGAGCATTGAAGTTAACAAACTACACATTCGAATTAGAGTTCGAATGTCCAATCGCTTGATCGGCAAATTCGTATTTGTCTCTAAGAGCAGTGTCTCCATGAGCTTTTGTAGTCTGTGAATGTGTGTAGATCAAGGGCTACAAAGCCTTAGGGACACTACCCGAAGGGTCTAATTAACTGACTTTTGAGCTCTCGCAACATCTTTTGAGACTTAGACTCGACGCTGATTGAATGTGCCATCGTGCTGCACTCGATGTCTGTGTTCGATGCATAAAACCCACGCATTCATAAATGAAAAAATGAAGGATAAAGCTAGCTGTTGAATGAAAAACACTGGCAAAGGAACACAACTGTGCAATGAAAATTTAAAACACCAAGTTGTGTAAACTGTATATATAATGCAGATAAAACATTTTTTTTTTTTTTCCAATTTAAGGTCACACAAGCAATCACAACAAACAAAGTAAAAAAGGTAAATGATATCACTAAACAAACACAAACCTGGAGGAAAAAACACCAGCATATTTTACAACACAAATTCAGGATCGGATCGAAGTTTCAGTACATTCGGAGGCGGGCACAGACAGCAACTGACTTCCTGGTCGGATTTGAATATCACTCTCTATTTTTACATTTCCGTGATGCGTCAATAAATGTAAGTTGGAAGTTTTTTCTCTGTTTTCCTTTGAATTTTATTTCCCAGGGATTTTTCACCCTTGCAAATCTTGACCTGTTTTTTTTGGGTTCCTTTTGTTTTTTTCGCTCACAATGGATAACCAAACCTTCTAAGATCCCTCGTGAAAAAGGGGTGACCCAAAGCTTCTCTTGCTTTAAGCCGCGCGGTAGGGTCATACCTCAATAGCCCTTGCAAGAGATCAATCAAATCGCCAGCCGAGTGGTCCACATGCTGCATGATTAGGTTCTGCCACACAAAAGGAAAACCGAGGATGAATTAGGATGTCCTAAAAAGATTATAATCAACAGAATCTCATATATTTGAATCCCAAAAGTCGTAAAAAAAAAAGGAAAAAAAAAAGAAGAAAAAAGAAAGGAAAAAGGGGGAAATACCACTCCAAGGTACATAAGCACTAACCAGGCAACTTAAAGTGCGTTTGAGTTTGTCTATAATTTTTTTTCCCTCCACACTCAAGATCTAACTCAACATTTCTATCCCCAATATTATCAATATAATTAAATAATATCAACCAATCATCTTTGCACATCACAACAACTTTATTTCACTATTCATCCACTCACATAATTTTAACTAATTATCACTTCACATCATCCCTCTCCAATTTTTACTTTACATCAACTTTAACTATTATATTTTAAATATTATTTTAATATAAACCCGAAATCCCACTAACTAACCGTACCACCTTTTTCAACTTTTTTTCCAAAATTAACCCTGGTTAACCAAAAAAACTCGTTTTGAGCGGATATACTTGTATCCAAGCTCGCCCTTGTGATTACAGAATAAAGTAGTGATACCTGAAGCCGGGGTAATTTCCAAACAGCCCTCATGCTTTCTCGGGAAGAGGCACCTTCAGGCCAATCCAACCTTGAGCCCCTTTTGAAGTACTTCTCAGCACGCCGGCTGCAAAAGAAATAAAGAAATTATAAGTAAAACTTCTATCTCACGATATTTATTCAATTTTTACACAAATGAGAAGCGAAAGGATGGATCATACTCGGCGCGCATAATCATATGCTGGGGCAATGGCCCTAGCACCCTTTCCATCATTGCAAGATGTTCCAAGTTTTCATGGGTTTGGAAAAGTGCCTCTCCCTATAACAGATTAACATATATAATAAGCTGAGATCACTTGAATGCTTTTAACAGAAAATATTACATATTTATCCTCGACAATGAAAGTTAATAAACACGTAAAATAGAAAAAGGGCCAATAAAAAAAATATGGCGTAGTTACCAAGTTCTGGATCTAACTTTAGCTGAATCCTTTTTTAAGAGTAAACATGATATCTAAGTTGATATAAATTATTACTTGAAAGAAGGAAGAATGGAAAATGTACCAATTAATGAAGAGGAAAATACAGCTGGAGTTAATATTTAAGTGAATAAATATGAAGTTGCTTACAGAGCACAATTCCACAAGTATGCAGCCTATACTCCACATATCACAGGGATAGTTCCAGCCCAGACCTTTTTTGGAGAAAAATAGCAAAAGAATTGACCATCCACAAACTGAAAAACAGCATATTAAATGCAATAGTAGAAAATAGTAAGATGACCATTACCCAATATAACCTCCGGCGCACGATAGTGGCGTGTAGAGACCACATAGCTATGATCTTGATGTTCAAATGTAGTACTTCCGAAATCAATAAGCTTTATAGCACTCGACTTTGGTAGATTTTTGAAGTAGGAAACATCTTTTGTGGGTCTCGATATAAACTTCAAGACAGCAGAAGGTGCAACAAAATACATCAGGCAACAAAATTTATATGTTTGTGCTAATAAGTTAGAAGGCCATACTGGTGTTGGGCTTGTTGGCCATTTCAGGAAACAAAACTAATGATATTTAGTGAATCTCAAGAGAAATTTCATCACGGGCCTCTGAAGAAGTACGTAAGTTAGGAGGCATGAGATGTTACAACTCATTTGAGAAACAATGAGGTAGTATCTTGACTTGTTAACCATTTGGAAATCAAAACCAAAGACAAAGGATTGCCATAAACAATAACATCCGCAAAATCAATAAATCAGCAAGCGGAAGCAGGCTATTCATATTTTAATGACATACTTCATCAACAGAACTCATATCTAGAAATGGTTGCCAACATTTTGTCAAAAATATTATATCCAGGTACAAAAACTATAATAAGAACCGACATTAATCAACATGGAATTAAGCAAAAAAAAACTCTAAGCTGGTGGAGGGAGAATCATGTCAATCTGAAATACGGTGAATCAATTCTAGCAGAATAAAATTTGAAGAATAAAACGAGGAACTTAATGCAATGCAAGAGTGAATTATATTGAGGTAACATGACCAAGCGGTGCATGTCGTATGTGATCACCTTATAATCTTGGACTTTAATGTACTCTGAGGACACAAGAAGAATATTTTCTGGTTTCAAGTCTGTGTGAATCAGGCGTAGATCGTGCATAACTGTAAGGATAACAACAGCAAAAAACAATAAGCAGATGTTTATTCACTAAATATTATGGGACCACAAAGCAGTACAATAACATGGCATAGGTTTAGAATCATAGATAACTTCAAACAATAGAGAGAGAGAGAGTAATAGTATATCAAAGATATGTTCACACACATGCCACAGATTCCAAAAGTTGTCTGCCAAACTCCCGAACAAGATCAATGGGAAATGAACGATAGCTGTTTTTGCGTAGAAAATCATATAAGCTTGGACCAAGCTTCTCAAATACCTGTTAAGAGCATTCAATTCATCCGCAAGTATTTTAACTTACAGAATATACAGAGAGGCATGAATGAACATCATACCCATTGAAATTTAAGTGAACCATAAATCACATTAAATACTTACAATACAAATATGATTACGATAGTCAAACCAATTCCGTATTTGCACACAACTGCAAGGAATGAAACAACTTACGCTAAAATCACTTCAATTTTCTAAGGCGGTGAAGTAAGGCACGACAGAAAAAACAAATCTTACCGTGATCCACAGATGTCATGCCTAGCCAGTTTCTGCAAGACATCAATCTCAATCATGGCAGCTTCCCGGTACTTTTGTATGGACCGAATAACTTTAATTGCAACAATCTCTTTCCTTTCATTGTCCAGACATTCCAGAACTTGTCCAAAAGTTCCTGCAAGAACCAAACAGTAAATAGCAAAAAACTATCACATAACCACATGAAGAGACATTGCACATCTTTTACATCATCATAATATTAATCAGTGGATGATAAAAAAAAAAAATGGGAAGCAATAAACGACTAACCTTCACCCATTTTACTCAGTATCCTGTCTGCAAATTGGGGGGAAAGAAGGATCAGAGAAAACTTGACTTTCAATATAATAGTACAAAAAAACCACTTGCGATGAGATCAAAAGTACTCAGTATACACAAAAGAGTATCACAAGGTGCAGAAAAGGCAAGAGCTGAAAATCGTACAATAACCACTTCAAGTGAGTTTGGCCGAAAAATGAGCAATTGAATCATTGCACATTAAATCATGTGGCACTCCAATACAATACCTCACTCTTAACATTATTTACAAAGCGACAACTAACAAATTATTAAGATAAGTAAACCGTCCAAGTAAAGTGGTGCACATTTATCACTTGAGTAACAATAGCCTAGTTTTTCTCCTTTTCTGTAGGTGAGAAGGAATGGAGAGAAGTTCTGATATGCCAATGATTCCAATTTGTTGCAACCATTTCTAGGATGCAATTAAGTCAAGAATATATTACAATATAATTAAATCAGCTGTCATCAAAATGCACTTCTCTTACTCCAACAAAACAATAGTAGAACTACATGGTTCAAACAATTCAAGCAAAATACGATAAAAAACAAACAAACCTCAAAAACTGAGCAGCTAATTAAGATGAACCCTCTGATAAAGAGTATATACACAAGTTATATAGCATACAAATGAAAACTGAATACTCACCAAAACTGTCAAAAAAGAATAGACACCAGTGTCGAAGTAAAGGAAGCAATGTATACTTACAACGAGGAGTTAAATTCTCCCCAATGGCAAAAACATAATGTCCATCCTTATCATCCGGCCTCCAAGGTGGAGATCCATTACGAGGAACCCCTTTGTAATATATTGAAGAATACGCATAGTTAGGGACTGCTCCAAACTCTTGTGCACAATATAGAGTTGGAAGAATCTGCACAAGAAACAAAATTGAGGCTGAACCTTTGTAAGGAAACAATTAATAAACAATATTGTTGAGTACATGCATTATAACTAAAGCCTTTTTTTTCTAAAAAAAATCATCTCCAACATTTTCCACACTTCTCGCAACATCAATTAAGTGTGGAGACATTGTAACACCGCGGAGTTATTTCAAGTGTTCCAGAGACTGGACATATGATACAAAAAGAGCACAAATCACTCCACCCCACAAAAAATGTAGAAGTAAATCCATGGCTCCTAACGTTGTAATCAGGATATCAATTGTACTTCACATTTCACATAACTGAACAGAATTTGAAAATTTCCCTGAGTCAATGTCTTAGGAAATACCTGACCAACATCATCAGCTAATAATTACCAGAAATTGATATTGATTTCACACTTAACCCAGTCAATAATACAGAAAACAGAAAAACATGATCAGTAATTCAGGATACGGATTTAATAAACCCATAAGAAACTATCAAAAAAAAATAGAAAACACGGTAAATAAAACACCAGAATGTCCCTCAAAAACCAATTGAATATGGTAAAAAACTAAACTTTTTTTTCTTTTTTTATCAAACCAGCCTGATCAGCTAAGCATGCTCAAATTTCATACAAAATCCAACACAAAAGAGCTAGAATAAGACACATTCTACGCAATTAAAAAAAAAAAAAACTACACAAATCTTAAAAATCAGACCTTCTGTGGAGCTGGAGGAGGAACAGCAGGAGGCATGTCCCATGCTAAACGAGGTCGTTTTCGAGGTCGCTTATCCATGCTTCTATGGGGGTAATCCACCACTCTCTGGGTCTCCATTAGTACAGAACAAAATTAAACGGTAAAAATAAGAAAAATCAGATCAACATGGCGAAATTTATGAGAAAATTCCCCAGATTACAAAAAATTGATGGAATCGTAGAATCGGGCTATCATGAAATTCAATTAGGGCAAGAAAAATATATATAATTTTCTTATTTTATGAGGAATTAGACAAACGCGATTGAACAGATCTGAGAGCAGAAATGGTGAAGGTCACGCGACCAAGAGGGAGGATGGGGATGAGTTGAAAGTAACCATAGTTAGTTAACCATGGTTAGTCGTTAGGCGTGCTCGATTTCTTAAAACGTGTATTATTTTAAGCGGTAAGTATGAAAAATGTTCTAAAATATTGCGGGAACGCCCTTTTTCTTTTGATGACATGCCTTAAGCTATGTTTGATTTTAATGAAATATACTTGTCTTATTGTGTGTAAATTTTTGTTCATATGATACCATTTTTAATAAAAAAAAATTGTAAAATAAAGTTATGATATATATAAAGAAAAAACACAAAATTATTTAGCATAAAAATATATTTACTAATACACATTATTTTAAAAAATTATTATCAATATTACATCATAATACATAACAATAAAATAACTATAATGTAGAGATGTTACAATTTTGCGTCAGATATGACGCAACACTGTCTCCGAAGTAGCGCATGCATTTGCGCAAGGCTGGAGCGCAATTCAACACTACAATAGCGCAAATTGAGAGACATCGAACAGCGTTGGAGGTGCTCTTAGTTAACGAAAAAAAGTAAGGTGGGAACTTTTTTTTATTCAAAATTTATATTATTCACATTAAAAATAAAATAAAATAATATTTTTTCTATACAATTCTACTAACATAATTCAAAAAAAAAGTTATTATTATTATTTCAATAAGATTATTGATTCACTTGCATTTCTAAATATTAATTAATATTTTATATTATGTCAATTTTAATTATTTCAATTCATAACCATTCATAATTTGTAATTGATCTCCATTGTTCTAAAAAACATCACCCTTCATCACCTTGAAAAAATCTTATATTTAGTCAATCGAATTTTCATATTTTGAAGCCGACAGGTCCATATGTGCATAAATTCTCCTGTTATGTCGAAAATCTCTCTCCAGCCTCAAGCTAAGAGGTAGCGAGTAAAATAAGAAGTCCATTGGGCTCACTCTATATATGTCAAGATGTTGATTTGAAGCATGCATAGGAATGCAATACACTATATTATTATTATTATTGTAGAAATACAAAAAAAAAAAAAAAAAAATCTATAATTTTTAATATTTTTTAAAAAGTCTAAAACAGAACGATTTATATAGCGATATAGAAGTTCGATTTCTTGATCACGTGATTTGGTATAGTGTAATACCCACCATCAGGTTGTACAAAAAGGTCGTCTTTGCATCAATCTAACCTTTCTAATTCCCTTATCCATGTCTTCTCAATTACATCGATCCTACCGTACGGGGGCCTGAAGTCAGAAGTCGAGCATATGTTATAACCTTTACCTTCACTTCGCTTATTACATCGAACCTCACTCATTGTATTTCAACTCATGGAAGCAATTTTTTAGCTTAAATCTTCCTAAACGTATCCGTTCCTTTATTTGGCTGCTTTGTCGCAACGTCGACTATAACTTCTAGCCTTCCAAGCTTGGAATAAAGTTTGGGCTACTTATTGGTGCAAGAACAAGACCAATGAAATGGGGTGCCACTACGTGTGTGTATATATACAACTCATTTGTTTATAAAAGCGTCATTGACCGGTGGCCACATCACCTTTAATCGTTACATTTTACACCATATAAATATTGTACTTGTATTCTTATTATTCTAAATGATTATTACTATAAAGTATAACTAATTCAATATATTTGTTTGCAATCTTGCTAGTTCCTTCGTGCTAAATTTTGCACAACATGAAATATTTATCTATATTATCATCATTCTAAATTATTCTTTATATAACATATAATTTAATTAGACACAATTTTTTTAGTATCCTTTTCAATTGTCCGTGCTATATTTTACATAATATGAAATACTTTATTTATATTCTCATTATTAAAAATTATTCTTACTATAAATATAATTCAATTAAATATATTGTTTTAAACAACGAATAGTTTCATAATCATGCCAAATCTATCATTGGTTTTAAAATGTTTCTAATAACCCCTTATATATTAATCCAGAACGCACTGAGATTACGTGGCTGCTTCTGGTGCTTCAGAATCTTATGTAGCAAAATTACATGTTTCGTTATTAGGCTTGGGTAAATTTTAATTTAATTCGAAACAAAAAATAATTAGGTTCGGATTACCATAAATATGTTGATTACTTATGGTTATGTTACATGTATTAATTGTATTTAAATATCATTCCTTATTATAACTATTGAATTATATATATATTTTAAAAGTTAATAATTTTTGTATTTTTTTTATTAGTTTTACATATGTAATATATCAAATTAATCTTCTTTTGATGAGCTTCGATTTAACATCCATATTGTATGTATTAAAAAATAATTTATATTTATCTTTATAACAATATTAAAATTATTTTTAATATTAATTAGATAAATAAAATTATTTATCAACTAATATATTTATATTTCAAGTAATTATATGATATAATTTATATAAACTAATATAATATAACACATGTAAGTCATAAATAACACATATCACTATAAAATATATAGTAATATATTTTTTTTGTAAAAACGTAAACTAAATTTAATATAGTTTTCTCATTAATTTTAAAATTTAAGAATAATTTTTTAACAAGTATTCGTATAATACACGGGTGTTGTACTAGTTGTTTATTAACGGTGTTTAAGAGTTTGATATTTATGAAATTATAATAAAATAAAATAGAAGTTTTCATTTATTTTTGTAAAATTTTTTTAGAAAAACTAAAGTATCTTTTTTTTTTAAAAAAAAAAAAAAAATTAGAATGTCACTTGTCACCCATACGACTTGTTTGTCCTATAATAATATTTTTCTAAATAATTGCTATGGGTCTATTTCCGGATCTGGAGTGAACCGGTGGAAAATCACCCGGATCTGGAATGAACCGATGTGAACGAGCTCAGATCTGTCTTGATGGTCTCCAAATTGCTATCGAACCACAGGAACACCTAAAATGATGGGTCTATTTCCGGATCTGGGGTGAACCGGTGGAAAATCGCCCGGATCTGGAATGAACCGATGTGAACGAGCTCAGATCTGTCTTGTTGGTCTCTAAATTGCTATCGAACCACAGGAACACTTGCAAGAACTCAACGCCGGAGGGATTCCCGGCGTAGAGCCTCCGACGCTCAAGTCAGTATGTGAAAGAGATGAAGGGAGTTGCTCTGAGAGAGCAGCAGCAATGATGAAAAGAATATGGAATGAATGGGAGTTAGGGTTTTGGGATTACCTCAGTCCTTTATATAGAAGTGCAACTTTTACCTGAAGTCCCCAAAGTGCCCCGACCGACTTACTGGAAATGTCCAAAATACCCTGGTCGGTTCGTATTCTGCCTACTTCCTAGTCAGCATCTAGATCCTTCCTTAGCTTCCTTCTTATCCTTAACTTTCCCTCAATACGCTGAGGTGTATCAAAGCTATCGAGAACTATGAACTGCAAGATTCCTTCAGTCGACCTGAGATATCGACTCGAGTCGACTGGATCGTACTCAATCACTAATGGATCCTGATACGTATGACCATCGTCTTGGCAGAAATCGACTTATGTTAGTCGACATGTGTACGTCGACTCAGACGAGAGCCGGGATCCTTGACCGTGAGTATCGGGGAGCCTTATTGGCGGAGTTGACTTTGTTAAAGTCGACTTGTTAATT